TATACATAAATTTCTAAATTTAAAATAACAAAGAAGCTGGGCGTGGTGGTGATTACCTTTAGTCTCAGCACTCAGGAGGCAGAGGCAGGCGGATCTCTGTGAGTTCAAGGCCAGCCTGGTCTACATAGTGAGTTCCAGGCCAGCTGGGGCTACAGGGAGACCCTGTCTCAAAAAGACCAAAAAAGGGCCAGGCATGGTGGTGCACGCCTTTTATTACAGCACTTGAGAGGCAGAGGCAGGCAGATCTTTGTGAGTTTGAGGCCAGGCTGGTCTACACAGTGAGTTCCAGGACAGCTGGGGCTACAAGGAGACCCTGTCTCAAAAAGACAAAAAAAAAAAAAAAAAAAAAAAAAAAAAAAAAGACCAAAAAAAGAAAGAACAACAAATGAAGTTTTCTTTGATGACTGACCACAATCAGCATTTGACTAAACAATACAGCAAGTAATCTTTAAAATCAACAAGAAGTTGTAAGAGGCATTCTGTGATATGATTTTTGAAACTCTAAAACAAACTCATAAAAAACAACCACACAGGCACAATACAGCCCTTCTTCCAAGGCCATAACTTCATCTAACATTGTTGTCTCACCTGTTCAAGATGTGAAATTGTTTCCCTGATCTGTCACAATGCCCTTCCATAATCCATAGAACTTAACTCAAAAAGCTATCATTCCCAGACCCCACTTTATGATGTTATCTGACTGTTACACAAACTTGCTGATGATTACAAATGAGCAACTTCCTCAGCAGGCAATGAGTTATGTCCAAAACAGAACATTTTACACTTTTTCATAAGGCAGCACTGTCTATTTAGATTGGATTCAAATTCAAGTATCTCAGAACCTATAGTATAAGGTAGCAAAATTCATATCAGCAAATATCTGTTGCAAATAAGAAGAGAGTTTAGAATAGATAGAAGACAGTAGTTAATGTCCTCTGTGAGCAACCCACAACAGTTCTCAACATGGGGTATGCACCCAACTAGACCTCTGAAGCAGAGCTCCATATATCTAGATATAGTCTCTTTTCAAAACTGCAAAAAGGAGCTGGGTGTGGTGGCACACACTTTTAATCCCAGTACTCAGGAGGCAGAAGGCAGGTGGATCTCTGAGCTCAAGGCCAATCTGGTCCAGAGAGCAAGTTCCAGCTGGGGCTACTCCCCAAAAAAAAAAAACCAAAAAAAAAAAAAAAAAAAATCACTGTAAAAAGGTAAAAATAAAATCATGCTATAGGGAACCAAGCCAGTCCATCTATAAAAATCTATCATTATACTAAAGTTGTGTTCAAAGGCAAAGAAAGCCAGCAACGTTAACATTTATGAATAAATCATAAAGTTTTCCATTATATAAACTTGGCTGGAGGACCACTGCAGTTTATTAACCAGATCAAATAGAAGTCAGGGCAGCCTTCTGTGACAACAAGAGTACCGTGCTCCTATCACGTTGCCTGGACAATTCACCAACATTCTATAATTCAAAAACCTTTTAAATATGTATATTCCCTGCCACACCTAGACATTTATAAAGAACAGTTACAGGTGTAAAACAAACAAGTAAATGAACAAAAATATAAACATTCTTAGTGACTACCAACAGGTAACATTAAACTATGGTTGAGCCATACAATTACATGCCACACAAACATTAAAAATATTTGATACAGGAGTTAGGAATGATACAGGGGCTAGGAATATAGTCCAGTGGTAGAGGGATTGCCTATAAAATACAAGCTGGGCATGGTGGTACACACCTTTGATCCCAGCACTGGGGAGGAAGAGGCAGGTTGATCTCTGTGAAATTGAGGCCAGCCTGGTTTTCAGGCCAGCTATGGATACAGGAGGACTGTGTCTCAAAAAGACCAAAAAAGAAAAAAAAAAAAGAAAAGAAAAAAAGAAAGAAAAAGATACAAATGATATTCAAAACATAATTATGGGGGCTAGAGATATGGCTCAGCAGTTAAGAGCACTGGCTGCTCTTGCCGAAGACCCGGGTTTGATTCCCAGCACCCACATGGAAGCTATCAATTGTCCTAACTCCAGTTCCAGAGGATCTGATGCCCTTGATGCTCTCTTCTGATCTCCACAGGCATTGCATGACAGAGGTATACTTACATACATGCAGGCAATACACTCATACACATAAAAATTTTTAAAAAGTATATTTTATTATTTTTATGTGTATGAGTGTATAATGCCTGCATGTATGGGACTGAGTGTACCCATGTTGTGAAATGCTGTGGAGGTCAGAAGAGGGCGTCAGACACCCCTGGGACTAGAGTTAAGGACAGTTTGTAGCTGCCATGTGGGTGCTGGGAATTGAACCCAGAATTTAAAAAAAAATAACTGTATGAAACAAGACAAAAAATATTAAAATGAGCCCATTAATAGAGATTGGGTACCTTCTGACATACATTTATGGAAGACCACACGTTTGTGAATGCACATGTCTGAGAACATGATACACATAGACACAAAAGTATGATCAAGAGCCTGAGTGTGTGTGTACATATATTCTTGCAATAACTTAGCAGCTCTGTGACCTTGAGCAAGTTTGAGACTTGACTTTATTATCAATAAAATGATGAGAACAAGCCAGGCATGATGGCAGAGACCTTTAATCCCAGTACTAGGAAAGCAGAAGGCAGAACTCTAGGAGATTGAGGATAGCCTGGTCTATGTAGTGAGTTCCAGGCCAGCTGAAGCTACAGGGATCTCCTGCCTCAAATAAATAATTAATTAAAATGAAAACAAACCTTGGCTCATAGGTTTTAGTAAGGATGAAATGGAAGAGTGGATGTAAACCACTTAGTGCTGAGACTGGTCCACTAGCATTCACTAGCTAGACTGGTCAATACCCAGCATTCCTTATCTGTACATATGCATTCTGATTATACTTTATATATTTACATAGCTGTAAACGCACAAAAATACACATCAAATATTAACTTTGGTTATCTATGGGTAACAGATTTTTACTGGGGGACTTTTTTGGGTTTCATTTTATATTTTCTTCTAGGAAGATTATTTTTTCATGCTTTTAAGATTATTTCTTCAAATTAATTTTGTTGTTAAGGCAGAGTCTTCTTATACTTTGGGCTATCTTGAAATGCATTATGTAGCCCAGGCTGGCCTCAAACTTGCAATTTTCCTGCCTCAGCTTCCCAACTGCTGAAATTACAGGCATGAGCCACCATGGCCAGAAAAATAATTACTTTTTAAAGGAATGACATTAAGGCTAGTCCATCCCTGACATGCCTCAATTCTGCATAATTAAACACAGGGTGTTGGCGTGTGCCTTTAATCCCAGCCTTCGGGAGGCAGAGGAAGGTGGATGTCTTTAAGATCGAGGCCACCCTGGCTCATATCATGACTTCAGGTGGGCTGTGACTAGGGGACACCCTGTCAAAAAACAGTCAACAACACCCCCCCACCCCTCCACCCCCCCCCCCTCCTAAAAAACGCTGTTAAATTTGCACCAATGAATACATAATTTTGATACTCCAACAAATTTTCTGTATTCTTGTAGTCAACTAGCATTACCGAATAGTTCAGTAAGATGGCAGTACAAAGAAAATCCACAGCTCTTTTGCTTGTCTGCCTATCCAAGTCAAGATGAAAAGAATGAATCTGATGAACTATAAGGTTCGGGTGGTTTGCAAACAGGTTGATGAGTTAAGCGACATCGGTGATTCGAATTTTATTTAAAGCAGGGAAGAACTCCAAGTCTTGTCCAAGGTCATCCAAGAAAAGCATGTACTAGACCCCAGGCTGTGAAAGACACAAGGATTAGACTGCGCAGCCACAATTTTGGGTGTGTTTAGGAAACCAAGAAGCTAAATCCTAACTAGTCATTTCAGGAGTCCAAGCAGAGGCGGGGGAGGGAGGGGGGCAGAAAAGGAGGACGGGTGGATTACAACACACCGCACAAAACAGCAAAACAAACCAGGGTTAATCTGCAACACGTTTTAATCTTACTAGTTTTATTTCTATAATATAGTAAACGTAGATCATCTAAGCAACGCCATTTTTTTCATAAAAGTAGGATTAACATTTTTGTACACAAATTATACTGAAAACGTGTGAAACACAAAACGCAAGCAGTTGCTTGCGGTTCAATCAACATCAGTTATGATGTGGCTCAACTCCCACAATTACGATGTGTTTTGGATTAATACCTCTAAATTTTCTGCAAAGTCTCTAAATTTCCGAAAAAAACCTGCTACAGACGAGGAGTTAAAAACTAACATCTTTTTTCCCTGGGGCCTCAATTTACAAAATCACACACCAGATAATAATCCAATCATCCTCGATCTATTTCCTCCCTAGATATGCTATTAAAGCTCTTAAAATGTCACTTCCAAGCGTGCAACATACACCCAGGAACACGCCCTGCAGCTTTACCGTAACTACATTTTGGGGCATCTCCCCAGCTAATCGCCTCTTCAAAATCGACTGCCGGCTGGTACTCTGCTTCATTTTTTTCCCCTTTGCCTTCAATCTTAAAAGGAAGGTGAGGGGGATGGGTATCCAGAAAAACAAGGCTCTGAAACCCTGACTAATCGCATCTCCTGCGGAGAGCCATCTGAGGCAGTGCGAGCGATTTTCATATTTTCTTCTGTACCCATTTCCTTCACCTTCATGCTTTAATTTTCCCCCTGACTTTCCAAAGAAATCAAACCAGAGCTGGAAGGAGAAATGAATGCCTTCAGGTCGATGCCCCCAGACTGCCACGAGTTCGGCCAGCAGGACCAGCCCGAAAAGAGGTTAACGAGGCCGGGCGCTGGATTTCCACCGCCGAGGTCCCGCCCGCGTCTCAGGGGCCGCGCCCCGCCCGCGGCGGCCTCCGACAGGCCCAGGCGCCCACAGCGGCCCAGGCCTGGAGTGGCCTGCCAAGCCGGCGTCGAGTGGCCCGCGGGCTGGCACGGGGCGACCCGGGCCCCGTGCGCGAAGGGCAGGGCCCAGGATGTGGTGTCCAGGACCCGAGGGGCTCGGGCGCAGCTCACCTGCTGGTACCGGCTACCGCAGGCCGGCTCCACCGCCGCCAGCGCCGCCAACGCCAAGGCCATGGCGCAGCCGGCCGCAAGGAAGGAAAGCGAACGAGAGAGCTGAGGGGGCGTCGCGGCCGGGGGTCGCCGGGAGGCCGAGGGGGACGCGCGGCGGATGCGTGTGGAGGGCCGCCGCACCCGGGGAAGACGTTCTTCTCTGGCACAGAGCGCCGCCGCCGCTGAGGCTCAGCCGCGGCCCCTGGGGAGGAGGCGGGGACGACCACGACGACGACGCCGCTGCGCCGCCCCGCCCCCGACTCGCTCTGCCCTGCCCTGAGCCGCCGGGCCGGAGCCGCCGCGGAGCGCCGGGCCCCAGAGGTTGTGGGAGGCCGGGGACAGTCAGGCCGCAGTCACAGAACGAAGATGTAATCCTGGGAGTTGTCTTCCCGCTAGACCAAGGTTCTCGTCCATTCCCTCCTTAACTGCCATACCCAGAGGTCAGGGGTCAGCCAACTACGGACTCGCCCAGCTAGGCATCCCGACGGGAAGATGTTTGAGAATTCACAGTCCACAAGTCAAGCTTTTTTGGAGCTCAGCCACTTCCGTCCAGTGTGGCCTGCAAACTCTAAAGAACTTGCAGTTTGAGCCTTTACAGAAAAAGTATGCTGACCCTAAATCCTAGATGGGAATTTTTATAATAGAGCCTAACATGAGTGCAGTTGTTTAGTATCTAACAGCCTCATCTGTGGATCAAGAAACCATATTATCTGAAACAAAACGCTCTGGAGGTGAAGTGAAAGTCAAAACTTGAGGTCCTAAGAGCTTTCCAGATAACAGGAACATGCAGAGCCTTGCAGAACTGGAAGGCCAGGGAGGAGACACAATGAACAGTTTCACACGTGTCGAAGAAGATTCACACGTGCCTGAGAAGATTCAAGGTTTTACCCAGTGACCCTGACCTGATAAGGGGTCAGGCGGGAAGCCCTCGAAGCCAGCTTTCTTGACCATTATGACACAGTTTAAAGTAAAAATCCTGGGTTTGTCTTTCAGGCCTTCGATCTATGCCGCGTCTGGCAAAGCTGCCACAGCTGTGGAGCAAGCATTCGGGGTCTGCTTCTTTTTATCTCATCCAGCCATCTTGAATTGCTTTTAAGCGTATGTCCTACACGGGGAGGGGGTAGTGTTAGAATCCTTCACTCTTTGAAGTGTAATCCAATTCCTATTTCTTCTTGATTGTTTTTCCAAGTTAGTAGTCTACAGATGGTAGGACTCTCTTAGCATCTAAATTTTAACTTAACGTTATATATTTATGTATTGTATTTTTAAAACAACTGTTTTGAACTATGCTGATTTCCACATAGGAGCAAATTGTAGTCAATAAAAATTCTAGATATGAGCTGGGTGTGCTATTGTGCACCTTTGATTCCAGCACTCTTGAAGCAGAGGCAGGCAGATCTGTATGAGATTGAGGCCAGCCTGTTCCAGGTTAGTTGGGGTTACAAGGGAGACTCTGTCTCAAAAAAACAAACAAAAATTCTAGATATGTATCTTTCTCATTCCAGGGTCTCTCCCCATTCAACCTCTTGTTTCCAACTTTGAGCATTGTATGTTTACATTCTGGGGGAGCAAATACACTCAGCAACATGCTAAGCTGTGAAATCTTTCTTTGAGTTGCTGGATTTTTGTTTTTGTTTTCCTTCAGTGCTAGAGACTGAAACCAGCACTTTGTGCATACACTCTACCTCTGAGCACCCTCTCAAATTCAGAAAGACAACCTTTAAATGTTATTAGGCACAGTGAACCAGACACAATGTCCTTCCATGTGGTCTTATATAAGGAGGGGAAAAAAAGTCTGATTTGAAATTTAAATAAATATATACCATCAGTGGAAAATAGAAATCAGGCTACTTTGTCTAAATTTATAAGTAAGAGAGAATAAAAAAGCATATGTCTGTCTTGTCGCATATGGCTATTGGAAAAACTGCCATCATTATGCATATCTGCAGCTCTGTGGCTTTTTCTGGAAGAGAACTTGCTGCCCTTCCTATTTCTTTCCTGCTTTTCCTTTGACATCTGTCTACTGCTTGCATTTGGACACAAGTATATAGCATAATATAATAATAGCCTTGTTTACAGGACTATCTCTCAAAAACCAAAGAACATTGATCTCTTAACTTCTTAGCTCCCTTTCTCATGCTTTTTTTCATATCCTCAACCAAAATGTTTTGAATAACAAAGATTCTGATCTCTTCTCCCCCCCCCAAGTTTCCTAAGCTCTTAATAAATTAATTGAGATTATTTACCTTGATTTAATAGCAGATAAACTGGACACTGAAAAACTAAGTCACCACTGTGTAAGGCCTCCAGTTAGCAAGCAAACGCACGGTGAAGGGGGAAACTGCGGTTCTTGTCCCGTGGACCTGTGCCTAGTACAAGCCAAGCAGACAGGGAAGATAAGCTAAGGCCATAAAAATTGTACCCCAGCGTCATCTCCAGTTGTTGTCAAGAGAGTTTCCACTGAGAAAGTTATTAATTTCAGATTGCTGCACTTAGAAACTTATTTCCCCACAGAGCCACAGTAATACTTTCCATGTGCAATACTTTTTATGTGAATTGCTGACACTGAATCATCCACCCAGAGAGAGAGAAGGGAAACTTTACAGTCAAGTGAGAGCATACCTCACTTTCTTCCTTGAATTTAGATCCATATCTCTGGGGTAGACGTGGTCTTCTTAGAGCCACAGGAGGCTTGACCTAGGCAGGTTCGAGCTCAGTGAGCAGCCAACAAGTATCTGTTAAATTTATTCAAAGCCTTACTAGTCTAGCTTCCCATTAAAGGTCTTGAGCTTCTCTAGCTGATCTTTGCAGAGCTCCAGTTGAACCATGCAGTTTCCTTCCTACTGCCTTATTCCTCTTGTTCTCGCTGCCTTGCCATGAGTTTCATGGAGAGTAGAAGGTAATTTCTTTATATTCCAAGTAAAGAAGTTAAGCACTGGTGATTACCACTGCTGTGCAACACTTCCTGGGCCTTGGACTCTATCATACACCATCGCTTTAATCCTCATAACAAACCCACTAGGCAAATGAAAAGGTTCAAGAAATTCATAGCTGCTCAGCTAGGGAATGGTAGACCAAAAATGAAAATTCAATTCTGTCTGACTCAAAAACTTGAGCCCTGCTCAGTGCATTGAAGGAAATACGGGACACAGAAAGACCAGTCCCAATCTTTGTGTCTGTCTTCACAGTGAAGTAGAGAAATACTAAAATATACTTAAGATTTTGTTTTTAATGTAAAATTTCCGAGTTGAAGCTAAAGTTGCAGTTCAGTGGTAGAGTGCTTGACCAATACCATCAAGACCCTGGGTTTACTCCAGCAACACACACACACACACACACACACACACACACACACACACACAGAACACACACACACACACACACAGAGAGAGAGAGAGAGAGAGAGAGAGAGAGAGAGAGAGAGAGATATTTAATTGCAGCTATGCTGTATTGAGCTACATTAACTGATACTGAGAGATAGTAATAAGAGTTAGGTGACCAGGTGGGATAATTAGGTAGGAATTGGGGAGAAAGGGTTTTAAATGAGAAACAGGCTTTGATATCATAGAAAAGGAGATATAACACACTAAATCTTGAGTATGTTTACATAAAAGCTTAGCACAGGGCTTAGCAACGTTTTATGTAACAGGACAGGTAGTAAATATTTCAAGTTCTATGGATCATAAGCTGTCTGTCACAGCTAAGTTACTTTGCCACCATATTGCACACACACACCAAACAAATAGGCATGGCCATTGTTATGGTTTGAATGTCACCCAAACGTTATTCCCAAAGCAACTGTGTTGAATCAGGCATGACCGTAGCACTTGAGGGACTGAAGTGGAAGGATCACCACTTTGAAATCAGCACAAGTTGCCTAGCCAGAGCCTGCTTCAAAAACCAAACAAAAACTTCAAAATGTTACAAGTAAACTATAAATTTGGCACCCAATTAGAGACCTAGTTGCTTATATAGTTGATAGAGGAAAATTATAAATATGCTAGAACCAACTCCTCTGTTCTTTTTTTTTTTTAAATCTTTTTGAGACAGGGTCTCCTTCTAGCCCCAGCTGACCTGGAACTTGCTATGTAGACCAGGCTGGTCTTGAACTCACAGAGATCTGCCTGCCTCTGCCTCCTGAGTGCTGGGATTACCAGCCAACTCCCCTGTTCTAAACAGTATATACTTTAAGTTTGGGAGTTCCTTCTCCCAAGAGTGATGCTACAACTGAACCCCAAGAACTGCCACATTTGAACTCGTGATCCACCTGCCTCTGCCTCTTCAGCATATCCTACCGATGTGCACCACTACAACCAGCTAACTGCCACATTTGATTGTGAAAACTGTACATTGCTGGCTGACATGGAACTCACTATGTAACCCAGGCTGGCTTTGTTGTTTTGTTTTGTTTGTTTTGTTTTGTTTTGTTTTGTTTGACAGGGTCTCCCTCTAGCCTCAGTTGGCCTGGAACTCGCTATGGAGACCAGGCTGGTCTACATATCTCAGCAATCTGCCTGCTTCTGCCTCCCCAGTGTTGAGACTAAAGGCATATGCTACCATGCCTGACTCCACCTTATTTTTTGAGACAGGGTCTCTCACTGAACCTAGAGCTTACTGTTTCAGCTAGACTGGCTGACTAGTGAGACCCAGGGATCCACCTGTCTCCACCCATACCCCTCTCCAGTGCTGGGGTTACAGATGCACACCTCCACACCTGCCTTTTACATAGGTGCTGGGGCTTCAACACAGGTCCTCATGCTTGCACTACAAACACTTTAACAACTGAGCCATCTCCCCAGCCCAAAATATGTTGAGATCAGGCTGTGCCCTGTTTTAAGATAGTCCATATTGTATAAAACTGATTTTCAGGCTGTGCCTTGCCCTGAGAGACTCCATTTTACAAGCAGCTTTTGATTCCATTTTGAGAATGGAGGATGACTGCACCTGAGTGGACATGTGAACAACACCATCTCTTTGGCACCATCCATATGGCCACAGGCTAATGGCCACAGTACAAAGAATGCTCCCTATAAGTTTATCAGGGTGAACTAGGATTTTAGGAAACACATGAGTGTATTAAAATCATACCAGGAAAAACAGACCCAAGAACACATTGGACACGTAGAGCAGGGAAGGGGTGTAACTCCTTCACCTGGACCCAGTAAAGAGGTGAACAACAAGCACTGTGATAGTGATGGCTCCCTGTCATCTGACCACCTGGTATACA